GGGTTAATCGGCTAATATGGAGCAGAGGTGGATGGATGAGACTAGAAGGGAGCTAGGGGGAAGGAGACGGGCAACAGAGAGTAAATATAACACAAAATGGAAAATACAGCAAAGATCAACAAAACAGAATTACGTAGATAACTCAAAGTAAAAGAACCATAACAGGATGTTTCCTGTTCTGCCTTTACAAGCTGAACAGATTAATTTTTCTTTCCTGTAGAGGAATAAAAAAAAAAAAAATCAATATTTGCAATTCGATAATTCAGTCATAAGAAAACCCCTCTGGTCAAACTTTGCTTGACTTTAGGGTTTCCATGAATATAGAGCAGGTGGAGGAAAACGAGCTGCTATAACACTAAAACCAGAGGCAGCGCACTGGAAAAACTTCTTAAATTAATGTGTTGACCCTTAATTTGAGTAGATAAATGAGATAGTTTGCCAATGGAATGAGTATTTTTACTCTTAAAATAAGATAATTAGACAATATGCACTTGAAACAAGATAATGCAATTGTGTTTTCTTATTTTAAGTGTAAATTGTCCCATTGTTAAAGTGTCTCTTTTACCTCCTTAATCTAAGAAAATTCACTTATTTTAATTGGAAATAAATTATCTAGATTTAGATAATTTAGAGGCAGCAACAAGATAACCGGAGTTACAGATCTGATTCATCTCATTGCAGGAGATTCTTTTGTCAAATGGAGCGCAACCTTGGAAGGAGGAAGAGGAGGAGTATCAGAGGAAGACCGGAGCGTCTCCAAGTGTTTCTAAAGTTCTCTCTGTTAGAGGAGGAGGAGGGATGGAGCAGCTGCTCGGACTCTTCCCTCTGATAACAGTAGTTAAGATGACGGTTCTCAGGTTTAACTGACTGCTGTCAGATCGTCCTCTCGTCTTTCTGTCCTCGTCATCCAGCCTCAGATCCTTCCTGTGAATAAACAGCAGCAGAACGCGCTTTCTTTCAGGAAACCTCCCTGTTAATATCGCGCTGAGCTAACGATTCACGAAGAGCCTCCTCTACGTCTCCTTTCATCCTCCAGAGTCCCTCTCAGCAGCTGAAAACAAGCTTGATCTCTCCTGCTTGTAGCTGCTGACCCCTTTCATCTAAACCTGAGTCATCTAACAGCACATCAGCTGCTTCTCGCTTTAGTTTCACAGCTAAACCAAATTCATTCTACCTGTAGAGACTTAAAAAGAGCAGATATATAAACGCTAACATTCTTCACTCTGACTTGATATCAAAAGAAAACAGAAAAAGAGACGGCAGGCTGACCTCCAACAGGAAATATTTAAACAAATGTGTTCACTTTAAATCCATAAGGCCGACAAACTGGAAAATAATCAGGTTTGTTTGTGATAAAAATGTTTTTCTGAAGATTTAAATGTTAGTGGACCTAATTAAAGCACCGATAACACAGATTCCCACAGTTTAACCATCAAAATACAGTACAGTATAAAAAAAGCACAGAGAGGAATGAACCTCTTTCAGAAGTACGGAAAGCCGTTTTAGTCACAAATAATGACATAATAACAGGATGGTTGTGAAATCAGTTTTTAAATTCACTAATAAGGTCACTATGAACATATGGGTCAAATTACAGAACTATTCTGCTTTATTTATTTGAGATTTCATATTGTATTATATTTTAGATTTTCCTTCTAATCTAAGTTGTTGTTTTACATTTAAAATTTAATTTCTATCATCACAGGTTACTTAAATGTTTAAAATCTACTTAACATTATTTTAAAAGTTTAAAGTTATTTAATTTTAAGGGCACTTTTTAGTTTGAAGCTTCACTTTTTTTA